AATGACTTCAATCTGTCAGGACATTTGCATGTTGACAGTGCAAATTACACACATAAGGAAAATAAAAAGACAATATCAAGAAATATATTAAAGTTGTAAAGTTGGTTACACAATGTACAACTGTGTTCTGCATCAAGAAATATTCATTAAACCTTTTAATTAAATATTGATAATTTCAAAAACATATATTCTTAGAATTTTGAATTTGATAATAGGAAGAGGTGCTGTTCAGCTATGATACTATCTGTGATCATATTAAGGCAAACAAATTAAACTGACTTGAAATGGTCCAATTATATCTTCAATTGCACACCCAGTCCTGAATCAAAGAATTTTGTGACCTCGTAGCTCCTCAAATTCTGATCTTTGACCTTGTAGCTCCTCTAGTTTTGATTTTGTGACCTTGTAGCTTCTCTAGTTTTGATTTTGTGACCTTGTAGCTCCTCTAGTTTTGATTTTGTTACCTTGTAGCTCCTCTAGTTTTGATTTTGTGACCTTGTAGCTCCTCTAGTTTTGATTTTGTGACCTTGTAGCTCCTCTAGTTTTGATTTTGTGACCATGTAGCTTCTCTAGTTTTGATTTTGCGACCTTGTAGCTTCTCTAGTTTTGATTTTTCTTCTAATTATGTGTAAAGCAAGCATTATTAATGATTGAAATAAGGATTTAATAATTTGCAAAAATTAAAATATGGACATTTTTTAAAAAGTTATCATTTGTTGGATCTTAGGCACTTCATGAGCTCTCCTTGCAGGAATACAAAACACTGCACAACCTCTTTCAAGACCAGGAGGAGGAGAAGGAGGAGAAGGGGGTTGCAGGGGAAGAGGGGGACCAGGGGGAGGAGGAGAGCTTCTGTTACAACACATGGTTAAGGTAAATTCTTTTACCAATTAATTATCTGTTCCTTTGCAATCGTCTTTGCGTCCCCAGCGCTCTTCCAAACGTCTTTGCTGCAAATGCGTTTTCAATCATCTTTGTGGCATCTGCGACTTTGCAATCGTCTTTATGGCACCTGTGCATTTTTAAAGTCTTTTGCGGAATTTGCGCTTTGGCAATATTATTTGGTAAAGTCTTTTACCAATCAATTATATGTCCCTTTGCAATCGTCTTTGCGTCCTCAGCGCTCTTCCAAACGTCTTTGCTGCAAATGCGTTTTCAATCATCTTTGTGGCATCTGCGACTTTGCAATCGTCTTTATGGCACCTGTGCATTTTTAAATGCTTATGCGGCATTTGCGCTTTGGCAACATTATTTGCGGCATCTACAGGCTCTTGCAATCGTCTTTGCAAAGTTTGAATTGATTGTATGCAAATATTGTTTTATTGCAGGGATTTCTTGAAGCTGGGAAAAGATGGAGAAAAATACTTCTCTAATAGTTTAGACGAAGGATGCATTTACAAGTAAATACAATATATGATATAAATATTAAATATAAGTAAAAAGATTATATTATTATTTTTATTATTATTATTTTTATTATTATCATTATCATCATTATTATTATTATTGTTATCAGGTAGAGAATATTCAGATGATCCTAAACTAATGTGTCGAGTTGAATGTAGTATATGCGGCAGGTATGTTTATATATATTTACCTGAAGGGAGGGGATGAAAAGTATGTCTCTTTTGTCTTGCAATAAATAGATTTGAATACAAACTACGTCTAAATTACGTCTACAGTCCCTTTATCAGTCTCTGAATTGGCTTAGAATTTATTGTAAATGAATTCATTGATTCTGTCTGGAGTCTAGCAATAAACTCTAGAATTTTAGTTAACCATAAATTTACCGAGGTTGAATCTTTTGAATGAAAGTAGTTGAAAAATTACTACCGGTCTTAAACAACATATCTACCTCTCTTTAGGGTCCAAATACATTTAACTACTAAACCTTTGTTCCAAGCTGGGCCAACCTTTGCGGTCCTATAGTTTGAAATGTACCGCCAATTTACCATTACAAAAGTGGCAGACCTGTGTGATACTTTCCCTAGCTGTGTCTAGAGCAGATTAGTGGGCCCAGCGCTGCATATTATTATCATTATTATTATTATTATTATTATTATTATCATTATTATCATTATCATTATTATTATCATTATTATTTTTATTCTGAAAACAGATGTAAGGTGTGCAACGAGGATGTTCTACATTGGTTATTTCAAGATCATTTAAGGAATCCACATTATGCTTAGTTAGATATTGTTAAAGGGACAGACCGGCTATGTAAGGTAGTTAAACGGAGAATGCAGTGATGTGAACAAATTCTATAGGATTCATTTGAGACAAAAAAAACTTTTTAAAGATCTGTAAATCCTTAGTTTCAGCGCAAAGTCGACGTTCAAAATCGTACTTATGGGTGGATACGTTTTAGAATTGTTTTTTTATTTAATTATTAAATAACAACTACAAAAAATGTAAATAAAATCCTACACTAAACTAATAAGTTGTTTAGAAACAGGTTGAGAAAATAAAAATTAACCCTTATCATCGAAATTAAGTAATCTTATTCAATTACTAGTTTCTATAATCTCTCTTTAATCACAAAGATTTTCTGTGATTTTCTGGAATATTTATTTAAAAGACGACATTTGAAGAATTGATGAAATCTGCAAACAAATTTATTGAAAATAAGAAATTCAATATAATGATGAAAAATGAAATAATTAATTTTAATTTCGATTTATTGACAAATTTCTTTTGAGAAAAATGTTCCTAAATATTTAATTAATAATTAGTTCACTATAGAATTTTTACTACATTTTTCGTCGTCGTTATTTAATAATAAAAAAGCGATTCTGAAAACGTAACCAAATTCATGATTTTGAACGTTGGCTATGCGCTCAAACTCAGTAATTATACATCGTGGAAACGTTTTATACGTCTCAAATGAATCCTAAAGAATTTGTCCACAACATGCATACTCAGTTTAACTACCTTACATACCGGGTCTGTCCCTTTAAAGTTTATTTTAGGAATCCATTTTATGTTTCATGATCATTGAAGGAATTTCAAACAAGATCAAATACAGATAAGATTAATTTCGTAATTTTATTCAACAGATATCAAAGTTCAACTGTTTTATCTAATGTTGATGTTGGATAGAGAGGAGCATGAACTGGAGCAAGAGGAGTATATAAAGGAGTACAAGGAACACGAGTACACAAGGCTTTCATATTATAAATGCAGGTAAACAAGCATTTTTTTATTTTATCCGGGGGGAAATGAAAGTTGTCTACCTGGTGCCTACTAACCCGAAAACCTAAAAAAGGAATTTTTAAATTTATCAATTACCTTCAGTGTCGCTGAAACATAAATCCGCTAGTTACTTTTATAGAGAAACCTTAATTAAAGATAATTAGGTAGAAAAACAGAAACCTCATTCATCATTGATCAGACAAAGGTTTACTCTACAGAGGTTTGGTCCATCACCATAACCAAATTTTAAAGGTTTAAAGAGTATTTTTTTAAATCGGACATGCCACTCTATAAATGGAGGATCATTTGAAATGACGTTGATAGCTCTTTTAAGAATTTATTTTTTAGGATATGTTCAGTAGAGATTTACCTTGCAGTTGATGATATTAGTAAACAGTCCATTTAAGAGTTTATTTTTGTAGAATATGCTCTGCAGAGATCTACCTTGCAGTTGATGATATTAGTAAACATGTTCTACACGAGCACAGTACATCTATGGAGGTTGTTAGTTAATCTATGTATTTTGGATTGTATCCGAAAATGTGAAAACGGCTGAACCGATCAGGCCCAAATTTGTCTCGGTACTCCTAGATTAAGCAATAAAAAATCTCGTAAAATATTGTGGATGGGGGGGGGTAGGGGCGATTAATTTTCAACAAAATGTATACCCCTGAGGTTTTGTATTTTGTAGTTTGCAACCTTGATTTTAAATTTTTAGTCTTCACTGGAATTGTTTACCAGAAAATTAAAGTTCAGCGAAATATTTTTTTTTTAAATTATGGGACAAAAAAGTTTAAAACTTTAAGATCTTCTCTAAAAATACGTTCTTTGCAAATGCAATGCATTAAAGTGAAGTACAGGAGAATACAGTGCAATACATTAGTAATATATATAAAGTTATATTACAGCTGTTGCATTGTTCGGTACAGTACAGTACAGTTTATTACAGCATTTTACAGTACAGTACAGTAAATTGTCATGCATTGTACATTGCAGCAAAGTAAATTGTACTATTGTAGCAATGTACGGTACAGTGCAATAGTATTACAGTACATTGCAGGACATTGTAGCACTGTACAGTACATTGCAGTGCATTGTTGCATTGTACAATACAGTCATTTTCATAGAGGAACCACAATTAAAAGTAATCAATTTCAAAGAGAAAAACATTGAATTCTCATTTATTATTTAGAAGATAATGCTTTGAATCAAACATCTTAAGATGAAGGATCACTTGAAATTTCGCCTACAGTCCCTTTAATATTGTACTTTTCAGGATTATATTGCTGAGTTTGATGGGTTTGAGCCGAGATTTATGACTCAGAGTATTACAAGTTTAATATCCAGGAAAGGGCCCAAACAAATATTATTTTATTGTACAATGTACATTTTATTGCCTAATTTATTCTCAAAATCCATTTCATTGGTGATAATTTTAATTTTATTAACTCTTTTACAGTGCAGGTTTTAATCAAAGAAAGTCGACAAAAAGTTCAAATTTTCTGACAAATTTTTGCTTTTCAATAAGTTGGATTTTATCCTGAATTAGCTTGAAAAATATCGAATTTGGAAAACAATTCGAATTTGAATTTGAATTCGAACAGTAAAGTGAAATAAATCTCCCAGGGAGTTTTACCTTTTAAGTGTATAAATGAGTTTAATGGGAAAATAAAGGAAGTGTCCAAAATTAATAAATGTTAAAAACCTAAACCCCTCTGTTACAAAAATGTCATCCTTTTCCTTTTAAACATCTTATTATAAAGTATATATATTATATATTTCTGGCCTGTTCAACTATTCTATTCGTTCTCTCAGTTTATTTGAAATCCTGACATATCTTAGTATTCTGAGAGCATAAATCTTTTCCGAGCTCTCAGGGGTAGAATCTGGGTTAGATTGTGTTTACTCTGCGGGTTCATTATCCTCTCCCCTTCGCGATTTGGAGGGAAAAAAGGTTTTTAAAGATTGATTAATTCAGTGATGATGAGAGGATGATGAGAGGATTATTAGAAGAAAGTTTTTTTTGTAAAAGAGGATTAAAGTTTGAATCTGTCGCACTGCTTGCTCTAATATAATTTGTTCTCTTGACGGAGGTATTTTCCTTTCTTTCTCCCACTCCCACTAAACCAGGAGTTCTTTCTTCCTCCCACTCCTGCTAAGCTAGGAGTAATTTCTTCCTCCCACTCCTGCTAAACCAGGAGTAATTTCCTCCTCCCACTCCTGCTATACCAGGAGTAATTTCTTCCTCCCACTCCTGCTAAACCAGGAGTAATTTCTTCCTTCCGATCCTGCTAAACTAGGAGTCCTTTCTTCCTCCCACTCCTGCTTAACCAGAAGTTCTTCCTCCCACTCCTGCTAAACGAGGAGTGATTTCTTCCTCCCACTCCTGCTAAACCAGGAGTGAGTTCTTCTTCCCACTCCTGCTAAACCACAAGTGATTTCTTCCTCCCTCTCCTGCTAAACCAGGAGTGATTTCTTCCTCCCAATCCTGCTAAACCAGGAGTGATTTCTTCCTCCCAATCCTGCTAAACCAGGAGTAATTTCTTACTCCCACTCCTGCTATACCAGGAGTGATTTCTTCCTCCCAATCCTGCTAAACCAGGAGTAATTTCTGCCTCCCACTCCCACTAAACCAAGAGTTTAAAGTAAGTACTTACTTCCTTCCACTCACATTAAACCATAAGGATAAAGGAAGTTTTACTTTCTTCCGTCCACTCCCACTTAACCAGGACTATAAAGGGAGTACTTTCATTCACCGACTCCCAAGAAGCCAGGAGTATAATAGGAGTACTTTCTTACTCCCACTCGATCCCACTAAACCATGAGGATAATAGAAGTTATATTTTCTTCCACCCACTCCCATTTAACAAGGAGTATAAATAAGTACTAATTTTAAAAGAGTCTGAGAATATATTGGTTTTCATTATATTTCCAACTGATTGCAAAAAAAAAAAAAGTCTTTGCCACAAATTCAAGTGTTCTAGTTGCTATATCTTTACATTTCAGACGAAAACTATTGAGCTCGCAGAATTCATAGTTTGACATATCTTAGGGTTACGACATTGGGTTGCAAATGTATAGGAATTAAAAAATTAAAAAATGAAACAACACTCAATTCCCGTATTTCTTGTCGCTTGAACTAATCATACTAAACACAGACACAGGAGACCAGACGGCGGACAGTAGCTAATGAATCTATTAATTAAGATAAATCTTACTATTATTCTACTTTTAATATTTTCCTAATATTAATATAATTTAGTCACGAACAAATTTCTTACTTTAAAAGAGAAAGGGTTGGATCAATAAAAAATGCCTCACGCCAATGTTTGGATTCAGAGAGGATATTCTAGCCGGCGGAGAAGACGGAGAACTCTTGGATCCTGGATTAGAGGAAGAGAAGGTGTTTACAGACAACCTGGAGTACTCCGCGCAAAAATAACTTCTGCGAAAAAAATATTTTAGAAAATTGTACATCAAAAGGCAAGTTTTCATCCGTTTTCTTATCACTCAAAATTACATCAATTAAAACCATAAAAATTTGATTGAGAAAGAAAACGAACAGTTGTAAAGCTTAGCTCAGATGTACACAACCGACCTTCCTATTCATTAATTAATAGAGTGGTCGGTTGTGTGCATCAAGATATGTTTACGTATCTAACACTGTACTATAGATATTTCTTGGGGGTGGTAAAATGAAGATAATTGAATATTTGTATAGATAATTAGATAGACACTTAATATGGATTGCAAACAGAGGATTGTACAGGGTGTCCCAGTAAACATGGGAATTCAGTAACGAATTCGATATCCTCTTTTAAATTAATTCGTTGATTTAGTATAGTGATAACATACTGAGAAAGCTGTTATCTGTAAGAGTTTCGTCTGCTATGTTCACATTTTGTTTGTTTATGTTTTGACTGCATACGGTTGTACTTAGTAAAACAAGAAAATTGCAGTATACAAACAGTGTAAACTTGTCCGTCATCTTCACTGTTCATCTTGTGGAGACATCATAAACACATCTTTACAGTCTTTTACCCTTTTCATAAAATAAACTCTAGCAGGCATAATGATATTATGGCTTTTGAACTTGGGTATTACAAGGCTAATTCATAACAAAGACATATCGAATTCGTCACTGAATTCCCATGTTTTTTGGGACACCCTGTATAGTGCAGTAAATTCCATTTCAGTTGTTTGTTTATGTTAATGAAAGTTTGACCAAATATTGCATCGTGAAAAAATACACAAACAATTCTTCTTGTAAAAATGTGAGTTTTTTTTCAAAATACAAAAACATTGTGCATGGCGAGACCTTTTAAGGTTAGGGAGTTGAAGAGAAGAAAGAATAAAAATGTTTCAAATAAGAAGGTTACTAAAGTTTTAAGCTAAAGCCATGCCCTAGAAACTTAATATTTTTGACAGCACTTTTAGCTAATAGATTAAAAACCTTCAAATTTGAAAATTGTCAAATGTTTGCAGTCAAGAGCCTCGAATTCTCTACAGTGTTAGATACGTAAACATATCATGATGTACACAACTGACCACTCTATTAATTAATTATGAGGGAGGTCGGTTGTGTTGTACATCTGAGGTAAGCTTTACCTCTTCGTTTCCATTCTCAATGGTATAGACAGTTGGGAGGGGGGCGGGGGGGAATTGGGGGTACCGTTAAAGTGCTAATTTGAGGTCATAGAGAATAGAATATATGTTAGAGTGGAATTTACTAGAAAAAAGTGTATAATGGCTATTTTGTTGTACTGTTTCCATACTGTTGGTGTACTTCACATATTTGCGCTGTACAACCTTTTGGGCCCTGGAACATCATTTTATAGAAAATCTAAAATTAATATTAAAAGAAACCCAAATTATGAAATAGGCTGGTTTCATAATTGACCAATGATCATTTCATATAGACTTTATGCCTTTCACTTTACAAACAATGATTTTCCGTTATAACTATAAATCAAATAATGTTTTTTATTCACCTAATTCATTTTATAAAGTTTATTTAACAGCTTTAAAAAATTCGAAATTGAAATGGATAGTCTAGGGAACATACTGTATTAATGTACTCTACTGCATATAATTTGTGAACATTTACATGATTTGTACACTTTGAACTCAATTTCAGGCTGAAAGGGTTTGACAAAATGCATACCGAGGGATTTTCTAAATTCCACTCTAGTATATATTCTATTCTCTTTGTTTGAGGTCTAATTTGAAGTATGCTAGGAGGTACAACGGATATAGATTTAAAACTGTAGGTGTTAAAATGGCCTGGTAATTCTTTTAGAAATTTATTTTTTTTGTTCTGTGCAATTAGATTGTAATCTATTTGATGCTGTGTAAGAAGGAGTTGAGATATAAAATTTTGTCACTAAAAATCACAAAACCTCGAACCAAGCTTTTAACGCAAAATAGAAAGAATTTAGTTTTGTTTGCAAATGCGTGAGATGGTTTTAGAGGGAAGTTTTATTGAATATACTTTAAGAAAAAACTTAATTTTTTCAGTATATTTTAAATTTAAGGAAAATGACAAAGTTATTTCATTTTAGTAACTATGAACTGTAGACTTTGTTTTAGTGACTTTTCAAGCTTCCATTTATAAAATTGCATTTTCGATTCTCAATGGTAAAGCATAAAGGATAAAGGAAATATTCCTGTTTTTCTAATTGAAAATTGTGGTCTCTCTTTTAAGGTGACTTGTAGATTTATGCATCAGACATAGTATTAAACGTTTTTCTAGATAAAAAAATGGCGATCTTTATGTCTTTGTTCATCTGTTAAAGGACTAAAAGTTACCGTTGATATTGGGGCTTGTGAAGCTTAAAATCAAAGGTGTTAGGTATTTTCCCAAAGACATTTTCACAAGGGCTACTTCCCAAGGGCTACTTCCCAAGTGACAATTTCCCAATTGTGCAACTTCCCAAACAGCAACTTCCCAAAGGTTAGGTTAGGCCTTCTGATCGAGGCGCCGCAGGCTGCAATGGGGGGCCGAGCGCTGCGGCCAGGACGGGATAGGGGCCGAGTGCTGCCGCTGGGAGTTGCAATTTGGGAAATTTTAAAGTTGGGAAGTTTCCACTTGGGAAAATACCCTTGGAAAGTTGCCGCTTGGGAAAAATCCTTTGAGAAAGTACCTAACATCAAATAAAGGTCACTTCCCTAGAAACCAAGATTCGTAATTTGACGAACGGTGCGAAAATTAACGAACTATTTCGTAAATTTAACAATTTATTTCCTAAACTTGAATGAACAATCTAATTGCACTTACGTCGACGTACCTTTTATTAATTGTTAAATGAATTAAAAAATGTTTAGATGTAGAGTATGCAGAAAGGTGATTTCTAATCTAAACTTCGAGAAACATCTTCTAAAGAAACACATGATGGATAGAATACAGTACAAAGATATGTACGGTTCACTGGAGTACACTAGATTAGTTTATTACAGGTCAGTACAAAAATACAGTACAAAGATATGTACGGTTCACTGGAGTACACTAGATTAGTGTATTACAGGTCAGTATACATGAATACAGTACGAAAATATGTAAAGTACACTGGAGTACACTAGATTAGTGTATTACAGGTCAGTACAAAAATACAGTACAAAGATATGTACGGTTCACTGGAGTACACTAGATTAGTGTATTACAGGTCAGTATACATGAATACAGTACAAATATATGTAAAGTACACTGGAGTACACTAGATTAGTGTATTACAGGTCAGTACATGAATACAGTACATATGTAAAGTACACTGGAGTACACTAGATTGGTTTATTACAGGTCAGTACATGAATACAGTACAAATATATGTAAAGTACACTGGAGTACACTAGATTGGTTTATTACAGGTCAGTACATGAATACAAAGTACACTGGAGTACAATAGATTAGTTTATTACAGGTCAGTACATAAATGCAATTCAAAGATATGTAAAGTACACTGGAGTACACTAGATTAGTTAATTGCAGATCAGTACATAAATACGCTTCAAAGATATGTATGGTACACTGGAGTACACTAGATTAGATTATTACAGGTTAGTACATAAATACAGTACAAAGATAAAATACACTGGAGTACAATAGATTAGTTTATTACAGGTTAGTACATAAATACAATAAAAAAGATATGTTAAGTACACTGGAGTACACTAAATTAGTGGGACACACTAATTACAAGTAACATGGTACATGGGAGTAATATTTACAGAGAGGGGAGGGGCTATTTTTGGCTCAGCTCTTCCCCTCCCCCCTATGTATTAGTGAAATCTATGGTTTCCAGGTGGTTTTCAGGTCCCGACTATACAATATCAAGAATTATTGCTAATTTGGCTTCGTAGTAAATCCGATGAGAATGTGGCATACTAATAAATATTATACATATATATTTATATATTAATCAACACAAAACAATATACAAAATAGCACTGAAATTCTCTGAGACGGAAATTTAGTAGTTTTAATGATCAAAACATAGTTTAGGTAACAGAATGGGATTTTTGGAGTTGAACTTTTGGAGTTTTCTAAACTATAAAGTGATCATATATATAAACATATACAAGATATTTTGAGATTTAAACTAGGTTTCGTTGTTGTATTATTTCTGAAGTTCCAGTGTCTCAAATATAACAATATTTACTGAGTTGTTCTTAAGTTCCAGTCTCTGAAATATAACAATATTTACTGAGGTGTTCTTACGTTCCAATCTCTGAAATATAACAATATTTACTGAGTTGTTCTTAATCCTTGCAGTTATTTTCTACATTTTTCTCAATGTTTTCTCATATAAATAACAGTTGGTATTTTTCTTAAGAAAAGTTGGAAGGAAATTGCCTCAAACAATCAAATAAAAAGGTTTTCTATCCATTTTATTAATTTATACTTTTCTGACAACATACATTGTCTTCACTCTTTTGCACTGTGACAAATTATACAGGAATGCCACATAAAAACATGGCATGATACAGTGAGAACCAGAAAACTCTGGAATAGGAAGACAACTTTTAGATTCAACTTATGACTTTAAGTAGTCCAATGAACATGAGACACAGCGATTGTGCAGCGACCCATTTCACTTAGTAATGAAGTTACATGTAAAACAATTTGCTTTCTAACAGCATGAAATACACTTCAATATTGCTTTAATATTATCTTCCTATTCTACAGTATTCTGGTTCTTGCTGTAGTTTTTGTTAAGAGGGGGGGGGGATGAAAAATTGGACTTGAAATGGCAAGTTGATTTCCTGTTTTTAATTCTTTTCCCTAAACTACTTTTTAATATGCAAAGTACACTAAGAATAGTACAATTTTAAAGTTTTACTGAATACAACTATTTAAACATGCTTAGTACACTCTGAATAGTACACTCTGAATTCAACTTTTTGAAAAAGACTAGTAGACTTTGAAAAGTGTAATTTTTTAATAAATCACTAAAATAAATACGCCAACATGGTTAAGTAGTTATGTAATACAATGAATACACAAATTATAATGACTTTGGAAAAGTACCCTATGTAAAAAGTACTCAAAATTTAACTGAACATGGTAGTTTTACTTTATATTACGATTTTTTAAAAGTACACTAAAACTAAACAAATGAACTCATTTAATTATAAAGAATTAAATGAGTTAATTTTTGTTATGTATCTTTATCTTTGCTTGTATCTATTGTACCTTCATTCTAAACTTTAATAACAATATAAAATCAACTTTTTGAACATGCCTATTACACATATATATGGGTACATTGTTTCAATGTAAATGTAATTGTAATGTCACCTTTTCAGTATGCCTGCAGTACACTTTGAATTGTACAATATAAATGTTAAACCTGAGTTTATTAAGCGGTTAAGAAGCTATGTTTCTCTGGTCCCAGTTGTGTTTAAATATCCAAGTTGGAATTTATGAGTTAATTTTAGATTTTAAATAGATTCTCTTGGGGCGTCTCTTTATAATCCAACTTTATACTTTAAGCACAGTTAGAAACCATTGTTTAACAACTTTTTACACTTTGATGTCGTTTTAACATTCATTTCATTGTCTACTGTCTAGTTTCTTCTTTCATTTTGTTTACAGGAGATAAAAGGGTATATATTTTGAATTTAGGGAAACAAACGAAAAATTGGGCATCAAATGCCTTGTCATTTTTTTATAGACAAGACTTTCCTAGATATGAGAAATCATAATTTCTACATATTTATGCAACTGCTTTTTATTATTTGACCAAACAAAATGTTGTTTGGCTGGAATGGTTTAGATTCAAGTTTAACCCCCAAAAATACAAGAATAAGGAACACAGTTTTCCCATCGATAAGGCAAGGTGGTTGGATTACACGTCAAATTAAAGTAAATTGCACATTAGGTTGCTATCTTAAATGTTTTCAATCTAACATGTTCTCTTTCTGTTGCATAAAGTTAAAACAAGAGATGCTATGAGGTCATAAAGTCATACCAGTAAAATTGCTTTAATTTGACCTCTCCTACTGTCTAGTTCACAATGCTGATTAAAACATAACCAGAGCCCGCGATTTAAAAAACTTGGGGAAATATGGCTCGGGTCTATGCTGTCGTTGAACCTTATTTACAACTTTCGGATTCAAGCTGCATCTTATTTTCCACCGAGTTGAATTAAAAAAACCGGGTTAATATTCTATTTGACGAATTTTCATGGTAGGAATTGGCGCATTCCCAGTTTTTATGAGAACAAGACGCAAAATTAACTTGTTTTCCACTAAAACCAACCAAGGTTGGTTTTATTTTTATTGGGCCTAACTCCTAAGTCGAGCCGAAGATCTTGCAGCTGTCAAGCTGTCGTCAGGGTTGGTTTAAATATTGGGTCTAAAAACTGGGTTTAAGGAATTACGGCTTGAGCCGAAGTTTTTAAATTGCAGGCTCAGGATATGAAAGAAACAAACATTCTGGTCATCTTGAACATTTAGTTAAAAATATTGCATTTTGTTTTAGGAAATATTGAATGTTTTGAATATTTTTCAAAAAGTTATCTTTGCACCGTATTTTATTTGATAAAAGGCTAACGTTTTAAGTTGGGTTAATAATAGTGCTTAGTCACATTGATATGCAGAGTTTAAACTTTTAAGTTAGAGCCTAATTTAATTTTATATTTTAGGAAGAAATGTATAATGTGTATGGTAAATTTTTTTGAAGATAATAAAAAATTATTCAACTTTAATCAAACCGGCCTCCAAAGGGGAGAAAAGCTGATTGCCTGTGCTATTAACAGTAATGTGATCAAAGCTTTAAACAAAGCTGTGTAAAAATAGAGTTTTCCATGAATTCAGAATTAAGTTTTAACATGAATTTTGTTCAAACTTTGTTGCAACTTCTTTTCTGTACTTTTTAGCCCAAGTCTAGATATTGTTATGACAGCCTTATATTGTAGAATGTCTGTAATTAAAGTTGAATTAATTAAACTTATAAACTACGGTCAGATTTCATCCCCAGGATACTGCATAGAGAGTAGAAAGGAATCTCTTGAACTCTAGGGGTGTTGGAGAGATTTAAAAACAGTATTCTTCTGTAAATAGTTTGACAACTGCCATGTATAACATTGAAGTTCAACATAAGATCAAAATTAAACTGCTTGTATAAAATTATTAAATTTCTCCGTTACCTGTTTTTTAATTAGAAATGGCTATTTAATATCATAGTTGGTCATTTAAAGTTGTCATGTTATATTGATTTGAGGAGATTTAGACTTAATTCAAAACCTTATTTGTTGTCCTAAGTTTGAATTTTACAAATTTGAGCCGTGTCTTAAATCCCCTAAAAACCGGTTTCAATTGAGCGCCGGCTTAAATATTGAAACATTGAATACAATTTTAAGTGGAACCAACCATATTTGAGCCGCAGCTTAAATTTAAGCCTCGGCTCAAATTCTTTAAATTCGGCCTCTGAGGTGGGAATTTTTGTGTTGCGTATTCTTTATCTTAAATATCCAAGTTTGGGGATCAATTATTTATAATGAAGAGGAGTTCAATTAATGCATAGGTCTGCCTAAGAAGGAGAACAATGCTAGAGCCTGAGATTCACAACGCAAAAGTTCTGTTGTTCATTATTTTCTATCCCTAGGTGTAAGGTTTGTGAGGCTCCCTTGATATTTAGCTTTGAAGAGATTGGTTTCCATGTTAAAGAACATCATTCTCTAGACATTCAAGATTATGAAATACAATACAATGCTTTTGAATCAGATGATAAAATAGGTAAATTGTTTAAACTTATTCTAAATCAGTCCAAACTAAAATTTGATTAAACTCAATCAAAGTTCTTCATAAGTCCAACTGAAAACCTTCCTATACTCAAAAACAAACTATTCTTCAACCCAAAGCAATTTCTATAACCTAATGGAAACAACCTACTTCTTGCTGAACGAAAACTGTTATCCAACCTAGCAGGCAATCGATCTAAACCCAACCAAGACAATATATAACTCCAATCTAAACTCTTAATAACAGAAACTGTTACTCCTTATTAATCCCAACCAAAACTCTTCCTAAACCTACCTGAAACTCTTATTGTACCAATCGAAACTCTCCCTTAACCAAACCGAAAAATCTTTTTGAATCCAACTGAAACACCCCCTAAACCCAACCAAAACTCCTCCTAATCCCAACCAACATTCCTCCTAAACCCAACCAAAACTCCTCCTAATCCCAACCAAAACTCCACCATATCCCAACCAAAACTCATAAGCCCAACTAAAACTCCTCCTAATCCCAACTAAAAATCCCAACAATAAGCACTCCTATACTCAACCAAAACTTCTCCTAATCCCAATTAAAGCTCATTACAAACTCCACTGAAGATCTTCCTCAATCAAATTTATTTACATTGCAGGATCAAAACTTGAGGTTCGAACTAGCTCTAAGTATAGTATAGGAGAGGAGGAGAGAATCTACTCTTCCTCCCTGGATGATATGTGTCTGTTCAAGTGTCAAGTTTGTGATAAGATTCTCTACCATAGTCTCCTAGCTAAACACATCTCTAAGGCAGGGGTTTATATTTTTTAAGATTTAGGAAGAAGGAGAATATTTTCAGAGAAATGGAAAAATTTGACATCTATTGGCAAATTTTTCCTCTCTAAAATTCTTAAAACATTTATTTTTCGTTAAAAATCATTGATCTTCGATAATTGAGGGATAAAAGGGACCTAAAATTGCCTTGTATATATCTGGGGGGAGAAAATAAAGGAAATATTTACCCCTGCTTCAAGGTACACAACAGCAGTAAGCTGGAGAATCTTGGGAATAAACTAGAACAGAGGGATAATCTAACTCTTCAGGGATAGATCCAATTCAAATTTAATGTTTTAATTTAAAAAAATAAGATACAATTTTTGTTAAAATTTTAGGTTTCATTTGCAGTTTGCATTCAAACAATAGTTCGGCTCATTAACTCCCCCCCCCTACCCTCTTCCTTCTCCTAGTTTCTTAAAACAAGTATTTGTACAAATGCATGTTGCAAACTATTCATTCAATACTTTTTTTTATTTTCTCGTTTTTGGGTTAAAATAAAATTGTTAAAATAAAAGAAAATATCTAATGTTTATTTAAATTTTAAAAGGAGGGGATGGGGGGGGGGGGAATTACTATTTTACAATCTAGAGTTCTAAAGAATATGATGTGGGTTTCTGAAACAATAGCGACCTTTCTGTAGATTTTTATGGTATGTAAAAGCAGTCCACGGTTTTGAAATCCCAAGCCTTTCTGTTAGTAATTGTTTGAACTGGAATCCCACTAAAATGTTTGTTAACGGTAAAAGACCGACTGATATGGAAGTTGCTCACTTAATTCCCTTTTTATTGGGGCACCCTGTATCTTTGATGTATTGAGGTGGATGTTTGTATAGGTAGAGAGGTTGACCTACTACCAATGTAAACTCTGCCCGGCGCAGATAATATTTACCATTGCTGGCATACACAGTCATTTAAAACTAACTCATTATATATCTATTCAGGAACACAATCAAAATTTATTTATATAAACTAATTTTAATAGAAATTTGTTGGGTTTCTTTTGAGGGTGGTTTTGGGGATTCGAAAACGGGGGCCGCAGGAAAAGTTTTTGTGGAAGAAGAATTTTCATTTTTGGAATTTTAATTTATGAATTCTGAAGCTATCTGAGGCAAAATCATGGATTTTTATCCATTTTCATAAATTTTCCCTTGAAATATAAGTTTCTTCTACTTCTACAAGGGGGGGGTAGTAAAGGGACTGAATAAGAGTTATTTCAAGTGACCCTTCATGCAAAGATGGCAATATACCATTTTTAGATCAAAAATGTTGAATTTTTCTACTGTAAAAAGTGTTATATTTTAAGAACTACTATTTGTTTTCCTGGAGTAGAAATGCGCAAGTTACTTTTGCAGAGATACTACAATTAAAATCAGTTTTCAAAATTTTGAAATTTTGACAACTAATTCATACTTGATAACAAAAAGCTGTTATTGGTACAATTGCCAATCGGGCATAGCCATCGTTGCATGGAGGGTCATCTGAAATAACGGTTACAGCCCCTTTTTAATGTTTGACAAGAGTCCGAATTTAATGAATTTGAGCCGCGTCTCAAATTCGCCAAAAACTGGTTTCAATTGAGCGCCGGCTTAAATCTGGAAACACTGATACATTTTTTGGAACCAACCATTTTTGAGCCGCGTCTCAAATTTAAGCCGCTGCTAAAATTCTTTAAATTTGGCCTCTGGTATTAAATATTGTCATGTGAAGGAGTATGCTGTAAAGTATAAAGGATTTGATCCTAATAACTCTACGCAACCTTTACCTAGAAACTATCAGAAAACATCACTTCTTCAGAATCACCTCACAGAGGGAAGTATTAGGTAATAAATGATTTAACATATTATAAATATGAAAATAAAATATACCCTTTTAGTAAAGGGGTACAATTAGTCATTTGATTTACTTAGATTTTAAAGTCCTGCCTTTTTATGACTGTAAAAATCTAATAGTTAACTGTGTAGAAAAGTCATTTTACTATTTGTAAACTTATAGAAATTAGCGAAACAAATTCACAAAAAAAAAATAGATTTAATCTCCCTTATAAAAAAAGGGAAATATTAATGTAATTCTAAAACAAGTATTTTATATATAGACAATAAGGGGGGGGAATAAATGAACTAAAACAATGCTAGAACTGCTACTGCAATATCCAAGATTAAAGCAGAGAGGCGGGTTGTAGGGTTTTCCTTTGATGCTGAATTTTGTTCATAAAGAGGCATTAAAGGGACTGTCGAAAATAATCCTCCAATTATAGGCATAATTCACAACTGTACCCTTTAAACCTTTTTATGTATTTTCACGAAATAACCCCCCTCACCGGTGGCGGAAAAGATTTTTGATGCTCGATCCAAAATTTCAATTATTTTCCCCTTTCAAAACTAATTTTCCCCAAATCAAACGCTTAAAGAAAATTGTCAATTTCAACCTTGTCTTCGAAGCTAAGTCTTGCATTATTTTCTATGTAGTAACTGGAATAAAAATTATCAATTTTAAAGGGAGTGACCGGCTATGTACAAGGTAGTTGAACTGAGTATGCAGTGGTGTGGAGAATTCTGAAAACGTATCCACCCACAAAGTAGGAGTTTTGAACGTCGAATTTGCGCTTAAACTGAGGATTTACAGATCTTTAAAAAGTTTAATATGTCTCAAATGAATCCGAAAGAAGTTTTCCACAACACTGCATACTCAGTTCAACTACCTTACATAGCCGGTCACTCCCTTTAAGATAAAAAACCTTATTAAGATTTGGTTTAAAGGCTGCTGCTGTGAATCGAACATGTACCTGTATCATGAAGGGTTACTTTAAATTTACCTTGACTGTCCCTTTCCATCAAAAGGTTTATCCTTAATTTGGATTTTGTTCCGTTGCAAACAATTGAATTTCAAACTTTTAAAAAGTTTACATTCTTTACTTAATTGTATTCCTCTGGGTTTGATATGTCGTGAACTACGCCAATAATTTATTATCTCCATTTCTATCCTCCCTCCATTTCCGTTTTATTTTTTTATTTTGGGCTCTCAACTAGAAATGAGAACTAGGAAACTGAGCAATTTTAATCTTAAAAAATCTGGGGTTTTACGAAGAGCTCATTTTTACTCATTTAATGCAGAGCAAATTTCCAGAAGAAAAAAATTTTGAGAAATTTCATTTAATTTTGGCCTCTTCGCTTTGATCTGAAAAAAATACATTTGACTCCTTTGTTTGTAAGTTTTTTTAAGAAGCAGGGTTACTATCAACTGGACATGCACTTGATAAGTAAAGTGTGGAATAGTACATTGTACATGTATGTGCTTGAACTATAAAGATATGTACTTAGAGTACATGAACTGTATATATTGCAGTAGAAACCTAGCTTTGTATAGATGTATGCATGTATGTACACTGTACATGTATGTACTTGAACTATAAAGGTATGTACTTAGAGTACATAAACTGTATACAACGCAGCAGTAACCTAGCTTTGTATATATGTATGTACTTGAACTATGAAGGTATGTACTTAGAGTACATGAACTGTAAATACATAGCTTTAAGATGTATGTACTCAAAGTGAATGAACTATAAAGGTATGTACTCTTAAGTGCATGAACTGTAAAGATATGTACTTAAAGTACATTAACTGTAAAGATATGTACTTAGAGTACATAAACTGTAAAGATATGTACTTAGAGTACATGAACTGTAAATATATGTACTTTGCGTACATAAACTGTATATAATGCAGCATTAACCTAGCTTTGTTTTAGATGTAATTTCTGTGGGAAGAGTATTCTGCATCATCTATTAAGAAAGCATGTAATCAGTAAACATCCCAGATACAAGGAATAATATTCATTTATTCAACCTTAACACAGATCACACAGATGGTACATAATCAAATAAAAGTTTTAGGGACACCCTATTCCCTTTACAGATCGACCCTAAAGTGAATTTATTAAATCAAGAATGAAATCTTGCATTATTGCTTTTGATAACAAGTGTCTAAACGACTATTATAAAAAGAAATTTTAAATATTATCAACTATTGTTTGTCTCTTCTTGAAAGTTGATGTTTGCAGTTTGCAGAAAAATAAAAAGATAAATGAATATATGTATCTAGGATATACATGGGGAATATGAATATATTCTCAAAACTTATTACAGGTAAATATATACAGTTAGAGATGTGCATCATATTTCCTCCATTTTTAAACATCCTTTACTGGAAACATTTTGAGACTTCTATATTTCTTGTTTTTCATTCTTTCTTCTTGATCGTCCATTCCTCGTCCATTCTTCAATCATACTTTGGCTGATTTTGAAAATAAAAATAAAATAATTTTTTGAATGATCCTGCAAATTTTGAAAATAAAAATAAAATAATTTTTTGAATGATCCTGCAGCTTCCAAATTGCAAGAGAAAGAATTATTTCCAAGCCCTGTATCTCTGACCTATTCTGAGGGGAGCAAGGTCACTACCCTCTCCCCTTGTTTTGTTTTCTATTTTGCTAGAGTCAACTGTAACACATTTAGCTTGTGTAAACTGCTTTTCTACACACTNGGGGGGGCGTGTTAAACATTTTCCAGTTTTTTATTTTGAGTAGGACATAGAGGGGGGGGAGATTGGACATCTGCCATCTTGTGTATTTGTCTTCATTCGCTATTGGTGAAAAAAAAAATAGATAGTGTAAAGCTCAAATTCCCTTCTAATTTTCCTGTTCAAAGTTGTCTTCTTCTTTCTTGTTGATCTTGTTTTAAGCCCCCATCTCTAATGTCAAGACATTTCCCCTCCACTTTTTTCTGTTCAATTTCTTTTTTCTTCCTGCTTCTTGTTTCTTGTTTTAACACTTTAAGGCCTTTCCAAATAGTTCTTTTGACATCGAGTTGTGGAGCAGGTAGGAGAGAGATCCCTATATCTTTACAATATGACGGTGTATACTTTTAACATTTCATACTTAGATAATTTTGTTTAACAGAATTCAGAATTCAGAATAAATACAACATTGTGGTGCAAAGATATAGGGAGTTGAAAATTTGGGTTTTTAACAAAGATTTAACTATTTTTCAGAGTATACAATTTCCTGAAAGATTTAAAAATAATTATTGATTTAAAATCAGTTGACGTGTTTACAAAATTTGTACATATTATCATACATACATGTCTGGTCAGGTCAAATAAATATATATACATTATTGATGCTTGATAAACATCTCGTATTCTTAAAGACAAATAAAACACATTGAATATTTTTAACGAACAAAAATGGATTCCCATCTCTAGAAAAAGTTTGTATTATGGAATTATAAATATATATATATCTTCACATCTTACACTCCGACAATTTTTGGTATTTTACAGAAAAACTCTTTATTTTCAGAGAAAATCTTTATAATTATAGATAAAGGTGTTATAGTAGTCTGCAGTATATTATTATTTATTATTCTAAAATATAAAGGGGGGAAGAATACATGAGCCATAGATAGATAGATAACTTTAAAAATAAAAAACAACAATTTTTCTGATGGACATTCTGAGTAACAAATTATTATTTAAATTATAATTTCTGTAAATTCTATTGAATAAAATAAAATTAGATACATCAAAGGATTATACCATCATGTTGCAAGGATTAGAAAATTTGAATTTGTGGCAAATTCTCAATTCTGTTTCACAACGATTTCCTTTAAACCTTTGTCTGAAGCTTAAAAAGCTTAAAAAAAATTGGCCGAAAAACGACGATATATATTTCATATTTTTTCTCTGACAAAGTTTCTTAGGATACCGTTGTGAAACTGTTTCAATACAGGGTCATTCAACATAACGTACACTATTGTTATATCTCCCTTTTTCATCCGATTGGCTCCCCTGTTAAATATTTTTTAAAATCTAGATATTTATTTGAGTATCATTGTTTATATGGTTTACAAGATTGTTGAAAATATGAATTTATCACAAGATTTTTTTTTTAACGAGTTATTATGTACATACAATTATAAATAAATAAATCAATAACGTCGGAAACGATTTTAAAAGATACTTTTTTTTTCTTTTTTTTTCCATTTCTGAATTATTTGTAAGTTTATATTCAAATATTTATAATGAAGCAGTTCGTGAGGAAAAAACTAAATTATTTATTGAAAGATAGCATACTTTTCAGGAGTGTTACTGTAGATACTACAAACACGGTGCGTGTTGTCTTTTATTAAAAAATGCGACATTTAAAAGTGTGCATGCTTATATATGAACATACACGGGAGCGAGTTTCCCTTTTTGTTAACATGATAAAAATAAGATAAGCCATCGATGGTGCATCGGCGTTAGCCGATTCTAGGAACGGAAATATAGATTATATTTGATCATGTTACGGCTTAATTAGCAAGATGATCAGACGTACGATTAAGAAATACGAACATTGATTGTTCGTTTCTAATATCTTTTACGTCAAAGAATGGAATGAAAATATAGATCTTATTTACTCATATTGCGGCTTAATTAGCGAGATGATCAGGCGTAACGATTAAGAAATACGAACATTGATTGTTCGTTTCTAATATCTTTTACGCCAAAGAATGGAATGGAAATATAGATCATATTTAATCATATTGCGGCTTAATTAGCAAGATAATCAGGCGTAACGATTAAGAAATACGAACATTGATTGTTCGTTTCTAATAGCTTATACGCCAAAGAGCAATTATAATAGCTCTTTAGTATTGATACTGAATAATTAAAAGGAACTATTAGTTTATTTAATGCATTCATTTAGTGCTTGCATTCAACTCAAATAGTTTCCGATTTTTAAAAGGTATTCTTTAATAGTGTAGAGTTTTGGAACAGTAAATA